CCCCCCCAACCTTTCTTAGGTTTTTATTCCAATTTTAGGTATGGTGGGCGATGGTAGTAGAAGCAGGTGTTTGATGCAGATGTAAATCTGAGCAACATCTCCATACATCTCCCACTACCGCCGATTGGGCTCGTCATGTGACGATTACATTTGACTTCGGCTGAGACTACAGTAATCGTTGGAGGTTGCTTGGCAGACGCAGCTGCTCTGTAAATCTTTTTTGTGCTAAAGGAAAGCACAAAATTTATAAAATCCCTGTTTTTAATTTGAATTTTTTTTTTAATTTTAAACGTTGAAGTGCAGAGGAATGTTTCAACATGTTAGCTCTCACTCTCGATTACGCAATTAGCATCTGTTTCAGACATTTCTTATCTTTCAAATTTGGTGTTGAATCAAAAGTTGCAAGTCTTATAATGTTTCGCTTCCGTTCCCTTTTGATTGAAAATGCAATGTAACGATTTTGTAAGGATACCAACACATAACTTGTAGCGGATCTGGGAGTGGAGCTGGATTCTTTGTCAACCTCGTTCCCAGGGTCCGCTCTCTTGGGTGGTAACGGGAACCCGATTAATCCAACTCATGCGCATGCCGCGTGTCAAGTAGAACGTTTGGTTGGCGTCTGTGTCGCATCTGTGTTGCATCTGTGAAGGTAATTTCTTTGTCTTTTGAGCAAATTTATCTGAAATTTTAGTTTTGGTCATCTTCTACTCCATTATAAGTGAATATTTGTGTGATTTTACAGTTTTTCATGGGTATCCAGTCTGTAGTGCATGGAAATTCCTTGTAAGAAAACAACCCAGGGAAAGGGAAGGGTTAGATTGAATGTATATTTGTAATTGATACTTGTGTCGCTGCATACCATGGTTCAATAATAGCGAAATTACGACAACAGCATTTCTTTCTCAATCAAAACTATTTTGCAGTCGACCTCTTTTTTCAACATCCCTTTCACTGCAAAGCGATGATCGCACACGTGCTTTGAATCTGTAGCGTTTGTCTTTATTCCGCACAGATTTTGGGTGGGTTTTGAACCAATACGATCATTAAATCCTTGTGATAGTAGCTGCGTCAAATTTCCACATTGGACTGCGCTGTTTTTATTTCTAGTTTTTGTACAACGTGTTCGGAATTTTGTATTTGAAACAAGTTTGATCGGAAGGTGAATCCTGTTGAACAGGTTTATTTTCCTCTTCGTGGAATTCGATAAAGAAGTAGCCGTAATTGTTTTAATATTAGTGCTTCTCAACGGCGCTTGATCCACAATTCTGCCAAGCGTCCTGCTTAACCGGCAGCAATTTTGACCTTTCATTTTAATAGCAGTGTTTCCCATCGGAATGGGAAATGCTTTGGTGTTTTGCTCTCTGGATTTGATGCCTTGCTACAGGATGCTAATTCGATGACCAATGGATTAATATCAACATCCTGACAAATCGCCCTTGGTTTAAAATAGTCACAAAGGCCTTCTCAATCCATTGCAAAATAAATTCAACAGTAGTTCACCTGAGCAATGATTTGGCTAAAATTGTCTTCTTGGCAACCAATTTATGATTTTGGCGAGTCAGATTTAGTTTAAAAAAAGGAGAATTGAGCCTTTTGATTGCCTGTGCTATGGAGTGTCTGTTGGAAATAATAATATGGTTTGACCTTTATTTTGCACTGGTTTTATCCTTTATATTATTCTTGTTTTTCTGTGAAGTGAGAGATGCTACCTCCATTATTATATCTGCTTTGGAACAATTGCTACACAGATTGCAAGAACATCCATATCCTTGGATTTTGTGCCCTTCCAGTGAAAGCCAGTGTTTGAGAAGGTGACTAATGTTTTTTCTTTTTTTAAATTGTAATGTCTCATTGCCTTTTTCACACACATTTTTTTTATGGATTGTAGACACTGATAAGCGAATGAAATTGATTTTGAGGATGCCTGTTGATCTCAAATACTTTTTCATTTTTTGTAGGTTCAGTTATGGATCTTATGGTTGCTCACACTCAAGAAGACATCAACCAGGTTTGCCAATAACTCTATATTCCTCATTTTTATTGATTTGGAAATGAAAACTTCCCTTTATAAAGCATTGAAGGCAATTCCTGTCACCAGGTTACGGCCCCAGATTTGTTTTTTCATTAAAGCAAAGAAACAAAAAGATTCCCTTGTATCTGAACACAGTCACCTTTGGAATAATTTACTTAAGATAGCTTCCACTTAGTAATGAAACATTACTGCTGTTTCAAACCACTGTTGTCTGTTTTATTTTGTGTTGACTTGAAGAACTGGACAAACCTTAATTTAGAAATGACTTGTCATTTATTCTTCCATGTTACTGGTTTGTTGAGGTACTTAGTCTCCATAAAGTAAGGTTCAAATTACAAACCAAAACTGATTGTTTGACACCATATCTTGTTTCTCAGAGATCTCAATAATATGTTTTTGAGATCCGATTGATTCATTCAGAAACTAAAATACCGTATTTATTCACTTATAAGGCGCACTTGGTTATAAGACGTACCCTAAACTTTTGAAGACAATTGTGACAAGTAAGCAAAATGAATATTTCACATTAATACCCTGTTACAAGGCGCACTGGGAATTATGGGAAATTTTGTTGACCACGTTCATTGTACTTGCAACAATTTGCTTCCAAAATTTACTACTGGTAATTACAGTGCTCTCATTCTCAAAACGAAAGTGAAAAAGTCACACATTACAAACAATAGCAAAAAAGTCACACATGGAAAATAGCATAAAAGTCACATTTTTTAATTTGCTCAAGTCATCCTTTTCAGGAGACAGTGTTTTAAGTTATGAACACTAACTGATCCGTTTTTACGTTTATAAACAATACTCATCAGACAGATCTTTCATTCATCAGTTGCAAAACTTATCTTATTAATCTTCGAGCATTCGTTCAGCATACTGTAAATTTTCAGTAATTATGCCAAGCACTCATTGTCATTCCTATGATCTAAACTTTAAGTTGAAGATTTTAGCAGAAGCAAAAGCAGTGAATAACAATCTGGAAATTGTTTGCGAATACGGCTTATCGGGTTTGAGTTTGAGACAGACAGTGAAGCTGAAGACGATGAGTAACTGAGCTCAGCCAAGCTTCCCAACAAACGGTTCTTTTCAGAGCCACCCCAGTTCTTTTTAGAACCAACAAATCAGATAAAGTCAATGATCAACATTGTTTGTCTTTTGTTTATTCATTTACCAGTATTTGTTTACATGCTAAGTGAATAAGAATGGTACTTAAAATATCAAGTACATTTTAAAATGTTCACCATTTTACAATGGCATAAACTTGTCCTGTTTACACATGTAGGAAATGGGAGGATGTGTAGATACGAACTTTATTGCCACTCCTTAAAATGGCTTTTCAGTTACAGAAATTCATAATTTGGTACTTGGGTATGCAATAAGATAAGCTTAGGTTTGAAATTAAATAAGTATTTTACTTTTGTACCTTTAAATGGGAATTTGTGACTAGCTTATGAGATTTTAAAAAAATATATATATATATATTTGCAAATATAAAATTACATATCCTGTGATTCAATACAATTCTTCAAATATATCCTGTAGCGAAAAGATAAGTAAAAAATGGACTGACGAGAGACCTTTACTGAATGATGTTTATTAAAAACTTACATACAAATACTCCCCTCAGGGCCTTGAGTATCACATAAATTTTGTACAAAAACTACTATAGACAATAAAAAACTATATTTGTAACTCTTACAAGAGACAAGTAGTAATATTCTAATATCAATATTGACATGAATACAATTTGTAATTCTTAAAGCTGTGAAGAATCTAATTTTAATACAAGTATTTGTACAGTTAAAACTCATCAAAGAGAAGGGCCTGGAGTTTCTTTTTCACCCACCCAGTTCCCCAACCCCTCTGGCAAGGAGCCTCATGTTGCTACAGCTCTATAGTGTATGGTTCGCTGTCAAGAATATTCACCTATTTACAAAAGAAAACATGAAACTCCCAGTTTTGAGTATCTGGTGTCCACACTGTCTTAAGCTGAGGTTGTGTGAACATCCCTCTTTTGTGTGTATTTGTGGTCACTTTTCAAAGCTGCAAACTAAATAAGAAATTCACTGAACCTACATGTAGAGGGTGGTATTTCAACACTGGGTTGAGTCCTTGCCACTGGAAGAGAAGGTGGTGTAGATATGTGCCTTTTGGTTCTGGTATTAGTATCTGTACCTTGTGCTTTGAAAGCTAGCTTTCAGTGTCTCCAACTGCCTTGAATGGAGCTGCTGGTTTCTCAGCTTGCTAAAAGTTATTAGTTTCTATAACAGACTTGCTTTTCTGTGTTTGTTTTCACCATATAGGGTCTATCTGACAATGCCTCCATAAAAGTACTCATTTAGCAGGCTGATTGTTTTGTAAATGTAAAACTCTGATATCTTGTCCTTTATCTATCTCTGGTGAGCTGCAGGAGAATCACTCACTAGTTATCATTAAGCTTTTTTGTCTTTTCATCTTCAACATTGATGGAACTTTTGGGTGCAGTAGCTTGATACTTGTGACTGTGGTTATAAAGCTTGTGGTGTGGTGAGGCATCAACTTCTTAGCTAGGCTTGTTCCTGGTGCCTTAGTTGGTGTGTTTCTTTGATCTAGACTTGTAGCATGATACACATGTACACGGGTGTAACAAGGGGCATTTTCATAAATATATTTTAAATATACCTAAACAACTGTAACCTCCCAGATTTAAAGTAATTGTCATGAGAAAAACATTTGGCAAGTTTTCATTGTTTATTTCTCATTTAAAGCATATTTTCTTACCCAGAATCCTTTGTGGGCGTGGCATATCACTAAATGATTTGGTTAGCATAGCTATAATGGCTAAAATATAACAAAAATTACTGGAAAAAGCAAACAGTGTCATAAAGAAGCAATTATTTCTTCATTTAAAGTCAAAGGGACTTTATTAATGTTATTTCTACACTTTTGTAGCTCCCTGCAAATGTGCTGCACCGTGCCAGCAAGGACAAAAGCTGTTTTGTTTTTGTCTAGTTTATAAGTCATGTCAATGATGTTATCTCTGACAAAAGAATATCCTTCAAGGCCAAGAAAACCTCTGGGGAAGGTGCAGCCATAGTCATCTGTTGTAGGCTCATCTAATTCCACTACACCATCACTTGTTACTTTCATTAAATAGTAATCGTAGTCAGGGTTGTCGGCCGCTGCAATAGCCACCACGCTGTCCTTGGCAGCAAGATCTGCAACCCTTACTGCAGTGTCAAGTGGAATAGCTTCCATTTCCTCAACAGCTTGTGTTGTTGTTGCAACAGATGACTCTCTTTCCAGTTTAACATCTTTCCAGGCATCTAACCACTCTTTGTTGCTGCAGTTCTCCTCCTCACCACTAATGCAGTAACAACTGTGGAGGCTTGAAGGCTCTGTCTGGTCTGCGTCTGTTCACTGCCTCGTCACCTTCTGGGAGAACATAAAAGAATATTCTACAAGCGAGACCCACTGCTTTGGATCGTAATGCAAATGTAGAGGCTGCTGGAGTGGTGAAATTCTCCTCAAGATACTCTTTCGTGTCTTTAGTATTCCTAATGACAGCTGTCTTCCTAAGAACTGCATGGCTCACCTTCTGTTTGACATTAGCTCCAGCAGCATCCTGCTCCCCCTTTGCATGCGATGTTTCGAAAAAAAGGATCACTGTTCACTTGAAGAGCTCTCTTAATCTACTTTCTAGTGCTTGTATGCAAATTTGAGGTTTGCTTTTGCTTTTACACTGAACTGATTGGTGTAGGATCCTTATGCAAAAATATAAGACTGTTGTTAATCTTGTGTGATATAAATGTTTCAGAGATGGACATTCTGAAATATTGAAATGTAAGAAATATAAAAATATATAAGAATATAAGAAATATAAGAATACTAAACAGAGGAAACCATAAAGCAGAGAAGCTGTTGACAAGTTAGTGAGAAAGGAAACATGAGTGAAACTGGCTTGACACTAAACACAGCGCAATAAAAGTACTTGAGTATTGAAAAACCCTCAGGTTACCTTGCTTAACTGATGCCTGAGACTGCCAGCTGGCATTGTCTTCAGCATTATCTTGTATATCACGTAAGATTGGTTAAAAAAGGTCCTAAAATTGGAGAGCAGCATGGCCTCTTTTAATGTTCTTGGTAATTCATAAAGGAATATATAAAAGAAGTTTTTCCTGAACTTAATTAAGGGGTGGGTTAAGTGAATGTAGTTTCTCTTTCTTTTCTCATTGCACTCCTTTTCATGTTGTTTCAACCATTCCTCATTTGCCATTGATTCATCTGCACAAGTTAGATCACAAGTTCTAGCAGTTGTTCTTGGTGAGGCTACAATGCTTGCGCAGTTGAGTTTGGTTTATCCAACTGAGAGGTTCTGTTGTCTATTGACTGCAACATGTAAATAAGCCCTTTAACTAAACAGATGGATTTGTTGGGTTTTGGTAGAAAAGGTAGTAGGTTTTCAGTTGCTAGGCTGGTTAGAAACTGAATTTTTCAATTTAGTGTCTGTTATAGGGGCAGTTCTTGTAGACCACTTGTGCTCACTCAACTATATGGTGGTTCTTGGTTTCTTTAGTGACGAAAAAAATCATCTCTTTGCACTATGGAACTAATATTCCATACCTGTCTACCATAAATTGAGTAACACTTTTGATATTCCCTGGGAGCTGTACTTGTTGTATTCAAAGAGAGTGCTCTGATTAGTATCATAGTATACCATGTCATGGAGTTATTCATACTGAACAAAGTATTCTAATTAATAGTCTTGCATCATTGTAATCAACAAATCTTACTTTGAATTCTATCTAAAAGTTTTTGTTTTATGTCTACTACAATTTTTCTGCGTGAGGTCTTTCTTTCCTTCTTTAGAGAGGTTAAAGAGGTCTTGCTTCCCTTCTCTTCCTTCTTTCCTCCTTCCCTTTTGTCTTCTGTGTTGTTTAGTAGTGATGTAAGAACTTCAGGCGTTTTGGTATCATTCTCGAGCATTTCCATTTCCATTAGCTTTGCAAGATCACTTTGGAAGAGTAAAAGCCGCCCCTTATCCAGGATGAATTTGTACAATTAAACAAAGATAATGACCAAATCATTTGTTGAAGTGTTTGCATCAGAATTGAAAAGGAATTGAGGTTGTTAATTTATTTAGGCCACCACTATATTCATTCTTGGTGGACTTTTTTTCTAGTAA